GCTCTGAAAAAAACTAACATATTAGAATAGATGCATAGCTTACTATTAACTTTTAAAAACGTATGTTTAAAATAAGCCATCTGATAGCGAGCATTTCTGTCTCTCAAAACATATTTCCTAGTCTGTAAAAGTGCAGCATAAATTTAAAAAGTGCTGTGATTATTTTCTTCATGAAATCAGCAACATTATTAAATTTTTTGAGTCAAATATGAGAATGTACCTTTTTCGTATGGTATTTCCAATCCTCATAACAATCTTCAAGGTAAGTGATATTATTTTAACTTTACAGTTGAGAAAACCAAAGAAGTTAAAGTACCTTGTCCAAGGTCATGGGATTATGTATAGTCAGATTCTAAAGCTTATCTGATAGTGATTTAGATCAAGTACTCTAACGCATTCTGATGCTTGCACTACGTGTTATTAAAAATTATATATCAACACAAGATTTACAGTTGCATAAAATATATTAATAAAAAGTCAAGCATTGTTTCTAAACTCTACCCCTGTGATTATCTCCACTGTTCTTCTCCATGTACTAAAAGGTTTACCATTTTTACCATTAGCAGGGCAGATTATCAAAGTTTTTGTGCTCTTAGATTGGGTATATCCTCTTTCTAGGGAACTACTATCACACTCTGTTCTTAATATAATGGGTTTTGGGATCTACTCTGTCATCTAAGAGATACATAGGTACATAAGTAGAATATCCAGTATGAATTGAGCTCTGGAAAATACTTGGCACAGGATAAACACTAAAGAAACACTGACTGAGGTGGAAAGTACAGTGAAGGGATCAGACTGTCATCACTCTAATCCAGAATTAATATTTGCATCACCAATGGTGTAATAACCAGATCTACTGTGTTTCCTGATGTGATGCAATATAATGTACACATTACATAGGATGAAATCTAGTCAAATATTCATCAAGCTGAAGCTTTTAGGGCCAATTTCTAGTTCCCAGGAAAAACAGCTAAATGCAGCTAAATGACACCATAAGGAAGCAACCAGACTAATCCAGAAGGTGGAATATTTTTCTGAACAACTTTCCCATCAACAAGTCAGAATCATGAAAAAAATTGATTTGAAATAAAAGATATTTCATGGAAATAACTAGATGATCCAAGACTGGTTCCAGGCTCATTAAAAGATACTATGAAAGAATGGGGAAATTTGAATATGAACTGGGTCTTATATAATATGAATTATCATTGTTAACTTTATGTGTAATCATGTTATATAGCCTATATAATTTTTTTTTTTTTGAGTTGGCATTTCACTCCGTCACCCAGGCTGGAGTGCAGTGGCACACTCACCACCACCCCAGTGTCAATCCGTGGTGGGCTCCAGCGATCCTTCTGCCTCAGCCTTTCAAGTAGCCGGAACTATAGGTGCACGCTACCACGCCTGGCTTATTTTTTATTCATTGTAGAGAAAAAGTCTCGCCAAGTTGCCCAAGCTGGTCTTGAACCCGTGGGTTCAGGCAATCCCAAAGTACAGGGATTACAGGATGAGCCACCGAGTCTGGCCTATATTTTATTTTTAAAACATGCACAATCAAGTAAAATATATATATAAATTTTAAAAGAAATATATGAATAAAATAAAATTTAAAAATATATAAAGTAAAATAAAATAAATATGAATAAACAAATGAAAGAGAAAGGTCTGGGTCAAGATACAGATTTAGTAGTCAATAGCATGCATCGTAATTAATACCATGAGAACAGATGAGATAAGATCACCTAGGAGAGTACATAAGGCAAGACAAAGTGATATGAACCAAACAGACAGATAATCAGCATTCACAGACTAGATATAGGAGTAAGAACCATCAGATGAAAAAAGAACAGCTGAAGAAATAGGATGACCATGAAGAAAATGGTATTCCAGAGCCAATGGAGGAGTTTCAAGACAGATAAGGCAATTAATTCATATGGCAGTTCCCATCCTCATAACAATCTTCAAGGTAGGTGATATTATTCTTAAATATATGGTATTATATTTATAATAGTCTGCAAATTCAGTATAACTATAGTTTGTTTTTTTTCTACTTATCTCCTAAAGAAAGGTTATATATAGATATGTTTCACTGTAGAAAATAGATGGGTTCCTTTCAAAATTAGATGTAGCCAGGCTCAGTGGCTCAGCCTGTAATCCCGCGCCTTTGGGAGGCTGAGGTGAGTGGACTGCCTGAACCCGCAGG